CCGGGATGAGGAGTTCAACTTCCGTCACCGTGCCATGGCCATCTTGTCTAGCTGGAAGAACATCCTGGACGCGGACACTCCCGGCCCGGCGGACAAGGACGAGAAGCCTGCCGCTAACGGATCCAAGGAGGAGGATGGTGTCGAGACCCCCAAGCTGGAGACAGAAGAGGAAAAGGAGCCCGAGTCCAAGTCAACCAAGGACGTTGATTCTCCAATGCCCGACGCTGATGAAAAAGCCCCTGAACCTGAGAAGGAAGACAAGTCTGAGAAGAAGGGAGATGAGGAGCCCACTGAGGAGAAGTCTGAAGAGAAGTCCGCGGAGGCTGCTGCTCAAGTGGTCTAAGAATTAACTCTGCGATGTCTGTTTTCTTACTCTTATCCATTTGCGCCTCGTTCATGTTCTCTTCTGTGTCTCTGTTTCAATCTATCGCCGGTTTGTTTCCTTTTTCTTATCTTTTTGTCACCTGCCAATGCAATACTGGGATACGGGGCTGGACCAACCAGCAAGGCTTCTTTGAATCAATTAAAATGTGATCGTTCTTGTCTTTTAATCGGCTTCTGCACATTGACCTGTGTCCTGGCCATGGAGCATGGGAGTTATCTGGCTCTGGATCTTTCCCAGAGGTTGTACGCCAATGGTCTCTTTGATGTCCTGCCGACTGTGCGCCGAATCTCGCCCAGGGTATCGGAAGGTATGTTGTTTTATGACGTGGAGATGAACAGAAAGGTCCGCAAGGGTGCGTAATGGAGATGCTATGCTATGTCTTCACTACATGTATTGAGCTCTTGAATACAAGGATCCATAATGGCTGTTCAGTAAATCAGTAACTAGTAGTATGTATGCTGGTAGGACTCTTCAGGAAGTCGGCATCCATGCAAAACCCTCCATTATAAAACCTCTACTTGAATTTGATCCATAAGAACATTCCGCCCCTTTTCAAAGCCGTCTATCGGCTCTGGGCATGTATTATTGTCCTGTACATATTCAACATTTCGACAGTGAAGCATAAAATGCTTATTTGTCCGGCTCTTAAATCAAAAAAACCCCGCCCCTTCTATATATGTATATGAATGCAGTTATACACCATGCTCGAAAACAAATGAAAAGAAAAAAAAGAAAAGAAAACAGTATAACGCCGGTTCGATGAAATGTCCAGATTTCCTGTCCAAATCACTCATGTCTCGCCCGCAGGAACGCTATCATCGACAGCGATGACGACCACAACGCAGATATCGTCAACTTTCCCGCCGCGGTAATAGTCACCGGGGTAGTAGCGCTGAGCCTCCTTAGCAAAGGGCCCATCGCGGCGATAGTCGACACTCGCAATTTTTGCCTCGCCAGCGATCGTCGCCGCGAGAACAGACTGCAAAGTGACCCCATTCTCAGGTCCGGACTCGGTATTAGCCGGGTCCTTGGAAAGCGGCGACCCCGGCGGAGTAGGAAGAGCATCAGCCAATCCACCCGGCGCAGCCAGCGCACGCAGGTTCTCCGAGACCCCCACGCCGGACTCCGTAGCCGTCCACGCCCCAGTCATAACCATACGGCTAGTGACGAGCTTGAGGATATCCTGATTATTAAGATTATCAAAGACGCCATCGGTAGCAACCATGAGCACATCCCCATGCTGCATTTGCACATTCGTAACGGACGCATCACGGGGGAAATCCTCCAGAAAAGCCCCGCCAAAGACAGACGCCTGGGCGCGCATACGCGGCGGGATCACACTAATCTGGTACGGTGTGTTGAAACCATGCGTCTGCGGAACTGAGTAATGGTGCACCGCCGCTCTCCTCAACAAAACCGAGCCCGAATCACCCAAATTGGCCAATTCGACCCGTCCATCCGGCAGCGCGACGCCAACAGAGGCTGTACTCCCACCTGCGCGGATCGTCGGATCCGCCACTACCTGGTCGTACCCAGCCTGTAGGAGGTATTTGGAGCGCAAGCGCTCGGCGGGCTCGTGCCAGGTCTGCGCAGTGTGCGCCATGTAGTTGCACAAGCCGTGCGAGAAGTCTGCCGGGTCGACGCGGGATTCTGTCCAGCCGCCTACGCCGTCTGCGACACCGAAGGCGACAGCTTCGGCGTTTGTGTCTTGGTGGTCTGAAATGCGGTTTCCGACGCGGGATACGAAGAAGGCGTCTTCGCCGGAGTCTGGGCGGTTGCGGCGACGGCTGACGGAGTTCTTGTCCTTTGAGACGCCTAGGGCGTCTGCGGTGGGGTCGAAGTTATATGCATTTTTGATGGGGTGGAAGCGGCGGCCTTTTCCGGAGGAGGAGACGGCGACGCGGTAGGAGAGTTTTGTGGGGGAGGCCTTTTCGAAGTGGGTTGTTGGGGTTGCGTGGAAGGCTTGGCGGGAGGATTGGCGGGTTAGGTTTAGGCTTAGACGGGTGTCTGGTCTGACTCTTGCAGTGTGGGATGAGTAGCGGACATGTTGGGATTTGAACAGTGAGGGAGTGTATGTGCTCGGATTGGTGGAAATCGAGTAGACGCCGTCTCTGACGATGGCTTGTAGGCTACTGCAGGCGGAACTGCAGGCTCTACAGGAAACGCTTGGCGGGATCATCGCAGGTCTAGGGGCTTATGTATAGTTCCCTCGTGGAGAATGGGCCTCCTATTTGGGAGCGAGAGAACGAGATGAGAGGAACAAGGGGTATAAAGAAAGAGCCAAAAAGCCAAAAAAAAATCAAAGGAGCTGCATGAATCTCAACGGATAAGACAGTACCCGCCCTTATCGCCCGACCGCCTGGCGTCATTGATTTTTCTTGCATACCCGATTTCTCAGGCAGAAATTGTTAAACTGCATGGGGTTGGACTTTTGTTTAGGAAAATGAACAAGAGTAGGGGCTCAAATAGTGTCCTCATATGTACTTAAATTCAAATATATACAATTCGATCAGACGTTAACTTGTATGCTCTTCAATGCTATACCGCCAAAGTCTATCAAGTATTCTGCCGCCCGCAACAACTTCTCTCCCGCCAACCTTTTTCTCTTCACTACGAGATACCCCCAATTCTTTTCTTTTACCTAAGCGCGAATCTTTATTAATCTGCCCTTTGAGCTACTAGAGAAGCACAAGCTTCTAAGTTGCCCAATATGATGCACCCAGCGCGACAGGCTTATGTCGAGGAGACGGAAGACACAGACATGGGGGACATCAGCTATGCCGATCTTCGTGAGTCGTTATCGAAACAGCTCTTTTTTAGGAACCTACTAACAAAATTGTAGCAATGGACCAAGACTACGATATGCCCACTACCGCAGGGGGGATTCCAACCGAGCGGGCCTCCGCCATTCTATCGCAATTCGAACGGAAACGGAGAGCAGCCGCCATGGTGGTTCCAACAGATGATACACGGGTACGCGCACGACTACGAGAGCTCGGAGAGCCCATTACGCTATTCGGCGAAGGGCCATCAGAGCGACGCGATCGTCTACGTGAACTGTTGACCGACATGGCGGAGCAACAAGGCGGAGTCGAGATAGAAATGGAAGAAGCGGAGGAGGAAGCGGAACAGCAAGAAGAATTCTTCACAGAGGGCGGCAACGAGTTACTTGAGGCAAGGAAAGCTATTGCGCGCTATTCTTTGCCGCGCGCAAAGGCTCGAGTGGCCCGGCTCAAGGATGAATCAACAATTACACTTCGAACGCATGTCAAGCATCGCAAGGCTGTCAAGGAGAAGCTACAAGGATTCGATCTTTATGGATCTCAGATTGCTGGGGATCGTCCGGTTAGCATTTGTCGATTCGCGCCGGATGGGCAAACAATCGCGGCTGGAAACTGGAGCGGTGGGATCACATTGCTCAGCGTGCCAAATCTGGAAGAAAAAGCGAGTTACAAAGCGCATACAGATCGAGTGGGTGGTTTGTCGTGGTTCCCTGGCGCCACTGTACCTAGCTCGAATGTCTCGCCCTCAACTGTAAATTTGATCTCCGGAGGCGGCGAAGGAAATCTGAACCTGTGGGCGCTTGATCAAGAAAAGCCGCTGGCTACGTTATCTGGCCACTCGGGGCGTGTATGTCGTACCGAGTTCCACCCTTCAGGTCGATATGCAGCATCGGCATCCTTCGACAGCTCATGGCGGCTGTGGGATGTCGAAACGGCCACCGAGCTGCTCCTACAAGAAGGCCATTCGCGAGAGGTCTATACAGTGGCTTTCAACAGCGATGGCTCTCTCGTGGCTAGTGGTGGATTCGACAGCATCGGACGTATCTGGGATCTGCGGACAGGGCGTAACGTGATGATCCTCGACGGTCACATTCGCGAGATCTACGGTATGGACTGGGGCGTCGATGGTCACCGGGTGCTGTCTGGTTCCGGTGATGGCTGGGTCAAATGCTGGGACTTGAGACAGATGAAAGAGACGGGCGGGATTGGTGCGCATAAGAGCGTGGTATCGGATCTCCGCTGGTACAAGGGCGTAGAGGCTGCGTCATTCTTGCCTTCTACAGACGGCGGGATGGACATTGATGGCACTCAACCAGCTGCAGCCGACAAAGCAGCGGAAGCGCCCTCGCCCAAGAAATCAGGCACATTCTTTGTGAGCAGTGGATTTGATAAGAGTGTCAACATCTTTAGCGCGGATGACTGGTCCCTCGTGAAGTCGCTGAGCGGCCACTCGGGTAATGTTCTCAGCACAGATGTCAGTGACGATGCGAAGTGGATTGCTAGCTGCGGTCACGACCGTACGGTGAAGCTTTGGGGGATTGAATGATTGGGTCCATATGTTGGCTCTTCAACTATCTGTACCTATCCCTCCTAATGGGAAATTGCATACGACTTTCAAAAGCCGGGTTTAATTCGTTAAATATGAGTAAGTCTGTCGAATATCCAGATCGATATTTGGTAGTCTCTAGGCATTCCAATATGTAGTTCTTGTCTGATCACGTGGCAAATGCGGGGATGACGTAAAGTGGTATGCCGACGCCTGGCTTTTTATCAACTTTGAAGTTATAGCCCTTCCCTTGACCTTGCCTCGACCATAAAAGCACTATATAGTCATGGCTTTTCGTCCACAAAGAATTGCACAGCATCTCTGTCGCACAGCAACCCCACGGTCTCTTCCACGACCAACCCAGTCGCTATCAAGCACAAGCCAAGATGCATGCATGCTCTGCCGATATCGCCAGCCAGCGCGAGGACTAACAACCCTCCCAACACGTCGAGCTCTCATCACCCAGAAACCCGTGACACAGCGCCGCTCTGCCTCGACAGAAACCTCGAACCCAACAGAAGCAAACAAAACAACTCTCGCCGGCGCGCCAGACATAACCAACCACTACACGATCTTCCCTCAAACGCTTCCAGCAGGCCCACCACCAGCCTCTGCGTTCGCAATCCCGACCAGCGATCTCCGCCGCGAATTCTTGCAACTGCAAGGACTCATCCACCCGGACAAATACCCCAACGGAGTGGAGAAGCAGCTCGCCGAGGGCCTCTCAGCACGGATTAACGAAGCGTACCGGACACTCCTGGACCCGCTGCAGCGAGCACAGTACATTCTACGGGAATGGCACGGGATCGACGTGACGGCGGAAGACGCGTCGACTAAGCATGCGCTTGACGCGGAGACGCTGATGGAGGTTATGGAGGTGCAGGAGACTATTGAGGAGGTTGGGGCGTCTGCTGAGGCAGTGGCGCAGATCAATGCGCTTAAGAAGGAGAATGAGGGGAGGGTTGTTGAGTGTGTGGGGAGGCTTGGGGAGGCATTTGAGAAAGGGGATTTGGAGGCTGCGAGGAAGGAATGTATTCGGTTGCGGTTTTGGTATAGTGTTGGGGAAGGGCTGAGGGAGTGGGAGCCGGGGAATACGGAGATTCGGTTGATGCATAGTAGTTAATAGGTGATTTATTTTGTATATTATTGGATCTGTTTTGGATATATCTGGATAGACTACCCTACTCTTTTAAGAATATTGAATGAAGTGTGATTCGTTATATATTGCAAGGGTGCCAATTATATTCGTGGATTCGCTTCTTTTCCTCGATAGGACAATGGAAGAAGCTTGTTTCTAGGCAAAGAGAGGAATATATTCAATCCGTAGTAGAAAAGTACCGAGAGGGTCGAAACGCCTATGGAAATATTCGTAATTTTTCGTAAATGTCATTGTCAATCCAACCTCGGTATAAATTAGGTACCTTTTTAGGGCTCCGTTGTACAACTGTTGACCGCTACATCCAAAACATCCCAAATATCCAAGACAAATCAAAATAAAAAATAGGTGAAGCTTCAAATTCTAATGGAGTTTTCAGGGACAAGTTAACCAGTGAGGCCACAGATTGGGTTCTCTCGAGGCTGGGGATTGGGCACAAACCTGCTGACGCCAACGTCGCCCGACAATTGGACAGTTCAGAGTCCAGTCAACACCAACTGTTCTGTATGGCTGCTCTGTATGGTTGCTCTAGGTTGGCCTTTTCGTCTCGGTGATAGCGGCATGGCATTTAAATGGTTCAAATGGACGAGTGGGTGGTCATTGGCATTGAGGGTTACTAAACCATAGGATATCACAGTGTAGGGCGAGCATATACATAGCATCAAATCTCTTGGCCGCATTTCCGCATATCTCACAAGGTGATTTGGTCTAGCGTTAGTGCAATGGGTCTTGGGAACTGCTCTTGTCCCCATCACAGCTGCACACGTTGCATTCTACCATATTTGCCCAAGATCGCTTCCGGCGCCTTGGGAATTCGAGGTAAAATATTTAATGGCACTATCCTGCATGTTAGAACGTAGATAATTTCCTCTCATCCCTTCTGAAGCGGAAGGACAACTGTCTCTCATGGAGTCTCTTCCTAATTTTAGCAGGTATGGAGAGCGCGTCTGATCAGCCTATGTCATAAGTATACACTGTTAGCAGACCGCTAATGCAACATCTCAGTATCATACACTCACCATCATTCACCTTCCTCGTCGGCCCACGACATACGAAGCTGACAATCCAGTCGGGGCTCGCTCAACATGTCTCCAAACCACTCCATAATCTCATGAACGGTCCGACGAGGGAATCCAAACACCGAATCGCCGTTCTGGAAGAAGACGATGTCGAGACCTTCGTTGCTTTCTGCGAGTATGCATACACCGGCGATTACAATGTGCCTAGTCCCGAGCGGGAGATCCAGGAAGACCACAGGCCTGGAGTAGACGCGCGCTCGCCGAGTACCGCCACCTGGAGAGAGAATTACCGGTCTGGTTCAATATCGTCGACTGTGCCACCCCCAGCTCCATCACCGCCGCCGCAATTTCGCCATCGGGGACAAGAAGCGTACCATCAGCCTGCATTTGAGCCCGAGCCGCCAGTGCCTCAGCCTGTGTCTGAGCCTGCGCCCGCCGAGGTCAGGGAACCAGTTACTCCAACCCAGGCGACAGAGCCTGAGGCCCAGCCGGTTCCAGAACCCGAGGCTTCAATCGATGTAGCAGCGCCAGAGCCAGAGCCGGAGACATACCACAAAGCGGAGGCTGCACCAGAGCTACCAGCCGAGGATGTGCCTCCTGCCGACGATGAGTGGGCAGTTCCGACCGAGGAACCTGTGTCACGGGAGCCAGAAGAACCCAAGGTGAACAGAAAGAAGGTAAAGAAAGGGAAGAAGGGCAAAAAGCAAGCAGAGCTTGTCGAAGAAGAACTTTCCGCACCAGCTGAGCCTGTCCTTACGCCGCCATCAACACCACCCCCAGAAGTTGCTGCCGAGCCTATCCCAGAGCCAGAAGCAGAGCCGGCTGAAGAATTGGCTCCAGCAGACCCTGCCCCAGAACCAGAACCAGAACCGACTGAATACTGGGAACAGCCAGGTGAAGAGCCTGCACCTGCAACTGAAGAGCCTGTGCCTGCAGAAGAACAGCCTGCGCCTGGCGCGGAACCGATGGAAAATCCATGGACCCAAGATAGAAGCCCAGGCACCAGCATTACCAAAAAACAACCACAAAGACCAATGCTCGACATGTCCTTCGCCCAACAGCAAGCCTCCTCTCCCTGCGAACCCGGCCTCAGCCTATGGGACGAGTTCACTTCGCTACAATACGACGATGTACCAACCTCCAAGCCCACCCCAATCGAGACACCGAGCACCGAGCTGCCCTACATCACCTTCCACGCGAAAGTCTATGTTTTCGCAACAAGGTACCTAATTCCCGCCCTCGCCCAGCTATGTCTCCGAAAGCTTCATCGCGACCTCCTCCTCCTGTCATCGACGGACTTTGAAACCGCCGATCTAGGCGACTCCCAAATTCTAGACGGCTTGGCAGCAACCAAGGCGCGAATGGTGCTGGAGCTGGTGCAATATGCATACACAAAGACGGCCCGACTGGAGCCGATCTCGCCAACATCCGCGACACAACTTCGGGAGAACCAGCTGCGGCGATTGGTGGTGCATTATGCAGCGTGCAACGTGAAGGAATTGGCTCGGTATCATTCGGCAGAGGATTCAGTTTCGGCGACGCCGTCTTCGCGGCCCGTGGATGCCAAGACGGAACGGGATGAGAATTCCACTTGCAATTCCCCGAAGAGTCTTCGTGCTTTGTTGGATTTGACGACGGAGCTGGCCTCTGATCTTGTCTACCGAATGATGTGAGTGGATGACGCGATGTGATTGGGTTTGGGATGTATGTGCCCAGACTTTTGGTGTGTTTCTGGATTCTGCAGAAACTGGAGATGTTGACATGATTTCATGCATTGCTGCCCTGAAGACGCTTCGAAGGACCCGCTGGCGTTCTGTTGCATAGTTTGAATTTGTCATTTTCTGTGTTCGAGGTGCATTGCATTATATTGCATTATATTGCATTTGTTTTGTGTGAAGTTGAACATTTTTTTCTCTTTTGAATGAAGCCGTGATTTATATTGTATCCATGGATGTTTGTATGTTGTATGTTCCAAGGTTGTATGTTCCAAGGTTGTATGTAGGGTTCCGGGTGATCCCGTGAGTCCAGTATCCGCAGACTCCATAAGAGCCAGACTGAGTGAAGGAAAGTGGATTTCTCATCGACGTGGATTTCATCGACATTCATGCGTTTCATCGCATAATGTTGTATAATCCTCCCAAAGAGAGTCTGGGCATCTTGGCAAAATGATGAAAGATAAGCCCACCAACCCGCCAATAAAAGTAAAAGACCCCTTGGAAGATGATCGACCGATCGACAGAATCCATGTCCGAAAGTTTCTCTTGGCGAGAATCCCAGTGCCAATAGTGTCTGTTAACGGGGGCTGTGAAGGCGAAGATAAAAAAGAAGTTCAGGGGGAAACGCCAAGAAATTCCTACGTCGACGTTCCGACTCCACCTGACTTTTTCCCAACTTCTCAACTTCTCAACTTTTCGACCTTCAATTGTACTGCAGGTATATCGAGTTTGTTCTACACCTACGTTGTGCATACACGCAATGGTGTTACCAAGTTATTCCTCGGCGTTTCCACTAATCTCATCTCTTCATCAGCTAAAGCTTGGCAGCGGTCCGTCAATATACTGTCGATCACTTGTTCTTGGCATTTGGCGTCTCGGCACGTTGGACGCATAAGAGGATTTAGACTTTCCGTTATACATCCTGAATCCTCCTATCGGAAGGGTTCGGCGTAAGAAGGAAATCACTTTCGGCCCGAATCATCTCGGGTTCCAAGGGTTTGAGATTCATCATCTGAGTAACCTGTCTCTGATTCAAAGGATGGTGAACTGACATATTGTATAGATTGTCAATCAGCCTTGTACTTCCTAGTCAAGGACCAGGTCATATTCATGGGAAAAGTGCTATGCACCAATGACTTCTGCGTGTTCTTGGCAGAGTCCCCTAGGCATCGAAGTTTTTTTTTATTTGTACGGAGTACGGAGTATACACTATTGTATACGTCTAACCTGGTGCCCCGATCCGCAGTGGATCGCTATGCTTCCGGAACTCCCCCTACGAGCGGTAACCGCCACCCCCCTGATACATGTGGTGATGAATCGTCCGAGCCAAAACATCCTGGAACGATCTATTCTTATGGAATTTTCTTAGTTCGATGCAATTATGGGTCCCACATGTGCATTGAGGCCGCTGGTAGGTCGGTTGCAAATGATTCCATTGCCTTGACTGCCCCGTGCCTTGTATAGCCTCCCCTTTCTGGTTTCTGATCTTTTTCACTCTGAAAAAGTAGAGTCTTGGAATTCCTTGGCTGGTCTTCGGCGAATTATGGAATTGTGGAATTGATATGCCTGGTCGTTTTGTATTTTGCTGCCCATCCTGGTATATTAACACCCTTTCGCTCCTTCTCCCAGATCATTCATCACTTCAATCACTTTCATTCTTCAAGCCTCGACTTGACTTTGATTTTTCCATTCTATGACTGGTCTATAGTCCTATCTTGAATATATCCACTCTATACTTCTTTTTTTATGTTCCAACCTTAGGGCTTCATCTATACCTCATTACATCAAATCTATATACACACAATGTCCACTCCAATTCTACTACAGGCTTTGCCTAAACGTAGCCAAGATTTTCATCCTCCATCCGCCCCAATGTCCTCTCAATCAGATACACCTTTCGTCCTCGACTCAGAGAAGCCCCAGAAGGACTACCCACTGAGCTTCCGCGACCGTCTGCGCCATTTCACATGGGCATGGTACACCCTCACCATGAGCGCAGGAGGCCTAGCCCTCCTCATAGCAAACCAGCCGAACCAATTCAAAGGCTGCCATGAGATCGGCCTAGCCATCTACCTGATCAACCTCGTCCTCTTCTCCCTTGTCTGCTCTCTCATGGCAGCGCGCTTCACAATCCACGGCGGAATGCTCAAATCCTTCCGCCATGAACGCGAAGGCCTCTTCTTCCCAACCTTCTGGCTCTCCATCGCAACAATGATAACCGGTCTGGACAAGTACTTCGGCGAGAACCCCACCCCAGCGTTCACAACAACCCTAGAAGTCCTCTTCTGGCTATACTGCTTCTGCACCTTCACTCTCGCCGTGGTACAATACTCCTTCGTCTTCACCTCGCACACCTACCGCCTCCAAACAATGATGCCGTCCTGGGTCCTACCAGCATTCCCAGTAATGCTAAGCGGGACGATTGCGTCCGTCATCTCCTCCAGCCAGCCGGCGCGTGCAGCGATCCCAATGATCACCGCCGGAATAACCTTCCAAGGGCTGGGCTTCTGCATCTCGTTCATGATGTACTCGCACTACATCGGACGACTGATGGAGAGCGGACTTCCATGCCGGGAACACAGACCGGCGATGTTCATCTGCGTTGGACCGCCAGCATTCACGGCGCTTGCTCTCGTGGGTATGGCGCAGGGACTGCCTGAGACGTTCCGCGTGATGGGAAGCGAGGACACTGCTGCCGATGGACGAATGCTGGAGATTCTGGCGTTGGCGACGGGCGCATTTTTGTGGGCACTGAGCTTTTGGTTCTTCTGTGTTGCTGCTATTGCGGTTATTCGGTCGCCGCCGACGAGCTTCCACCTTAGCTGGTGGGCGATGGTTTTCCCTAATACTGGGTTCACGATTGCTACTATTACACTTGGAAATGCGTTTGATAGCGCGGGGATTAAGGGTGTTGGCTCTGCGATGACTATCTGCATTGTCTGCATGTTCCTCTTCGTCTTTGTCAATCATGGTCTTGCGGTCTATCGCCAGGATATTATGTATCCTGGTAAGGACGAGGATACTTCGGACTGAGATGGTCTTCCGACCGAGCCATTCTTGTCTCATGCTGTCTTTGGTTTGCTTCTTTTCACTTTTGGCATTTCTTGACTTGCACAATCCTTTTTGATATTCTTTGGCCTTCTTTCATTGGACATACTACTGTTTATCTCGTCTTTTTCTTCATTCTGGTTTGATCTTCTCATTGATTTTCCCTTTGCTCTTTTATCTCAAAAGCGTTCAAGCACTCCATTTTCTTTGTTTTTGCCCTGTGAGAACCCCTTTTGCATGTCTAGCGTTTCATGTCTTGTCTGATCTTCCATCTCCTTAGCGTCTACTACATTTGAATAGAATTAGAACGAGAATTATTCCTTGCAATCATTCCATAACTACCTAGTAAAAATAAAAAGAAAACAAAACAAAAGATCAATTCTTTTGACATGAAGAAGTAGTAAGTCCAAGGACCAAAACCAAGTCCCAAGTCACGCGACCATGAAGCCCTACCCGGAAGTCATCCACGACCACAACACTGCGGAGGGGGGAAAAAAAACCATTGAAGAGGCTCGTCTTGGCTTCGTCCCGAAGAATTACTGGACCCCAGCACCACGGTGAGGTGCGAGCCAACGCTGGGGAAATGGCAGGATAAATGGCCGAAGAAATTGCAGGTAGACATGGCGACGAAGTCCCTCTCTTCACTTCCCAGTCGGCACCAGGTTGCCCCAGGACCGGTGAGCAGAAGGCGGGGGATAAATGGTAAACAAACAAACCCCCAAAGATGATGAATAAATGGCAAGGGCTCGTCTTGGCTTCACCCCCGAAGGGCTACTGGACCCCAGCACCACGATGATGTGCGAGCTGTCGCTGAGGGCAAGTGGGAGAGGTGTAAACAAAGGACAGTGACCAGGGAGGGGGGAAGAGGAAGAAGAAGAAGAAGAAGAAGAAGAAGAAGAAGAAGAAGAAGAAGAAGAAGAAGAAGACGATGAAGAAGACGATGATGATGATGGATGGATGGAAGTGGGATATGGAAGGAGATGAAGATGAAGATGAAGGATGGGGGATGGGTGGGTGGAAAAAAAAGAGAGATGGGAGATGAAGAAGAGAAGAGGAACAGGGGGGAGAGGGAAGTATTTATAAACAAAACAGTCGATGGCCTCAGGATACACATGGTCACCCGGCCGATACACTATGTATGTCACCATTATGTCAATGTGTACAGAAGTAGAAGAGAGTACAATGATATTGAATCCTATGTAAGAGATTGTCACCTTGCTCTAGCAAGTGTCGTATGGGTATCATGATGACAGGAAAAAGCAGTCTTTTGCCGCACATGGATGGCTTCGTCGCTGTGGAGCGACAGGTCGAGTTCATGCTCGACAGTCAAGCCTTGAAAACGTCTGAGGTTCTTGGAGCACACTGGCGCGCACTGGACAGACGGCCAGAAGCCCGCGACGCCGTCGGCATCTGATGGACTACCACGTGGCCCCATCTGCTGGGAAGGAGTGAACCGCTGAGGCGAGACTTCCCGTACCGTTCGGCAAAGACGGTCCTCAGAGTGGTGGTAGACTGGGATGAAGTGCGAAAGCCGTCCACAGCAGCTTAAGCAACCTTTCTGCCGACGTTACCAATTCCACGGCCGACAACGCTGACAATCACATCTCCATCTCCGTTGTCAGGTGCATCTCGGATACCCCAGCCGGGGGCACCGAACTTGGAAAGGTCTCGAGCGAGCTGGACCATGTTGGGATCAGCAATGACCTCTCGGCCAACCTGCAGCCGACCAACGTCCTCCGAGCCCATTGTCATGAGAGTGAACATGGTCGTCACAGCCGCAGGAGCCACACAACCTCCCTTGGTTACCGTCTCTAGAAGCTGGAATGCACACTGCTTTCCGACTTCCTCAGGGGCCTGACCACCCGATGGCGGAGAGGCCACATCAGCTGAGAAGAGGCAGCCTGTGGAAG